TGCAAAAAAAAAAAATTTCACGACCGTGATGACCGCAGTGACCGCAATTATCTCCGTTATATCCGAAAACGCGACAAATGCTACGACCGAAAACTATTTAAATTCCCTGAATGTAACCAATAACCTATAGCCCGACTATTACAATCTATATCTAATAAGAAAATTTTGAATATGCAAAAGTTGTTCAAATTGATGAGCTAGAAGTGTTTAAGATGATGGATAAGTCAAATATGATTTATCATGTATGGAAATTACTTTGTGTATAAAGTTTTGCTAAAGAAAGGTTTTCTTCTGAAAGAGATTAAGGGCTATATGGCTTGCCTATTGTTTTTTTACTGTTAAAGCAAAATGGTCTAATCTATGCTTTGTTCAACTGATCTAGTTTTCATGCTTTGCAAAGAGGCAGGACTAGTTTTTAAATTTGCTTTTGGACAGTCATTTTAGTTATAGTGTGTTGTTTCTAATTGCCTTTTCTTTAGTTCTTATAATGTTGTTATGGTTTCTAGTTGTTGGTGTTATATATCCAGTTTTAAGGTTGCATACAAGCAGGAGGAATGACTGAGGAAAAGAAAGTTCTAAGGCGGAAGACCCTGGCAAAGTGGTTAAAGGAACGTATCTTGAGATTGGGTCCTACTTTCATCAAAGTTGGCCAACAGTTCTCCGCCAGGGTTGACATTCTTGCTCAAGAATATGTTGATCAGTTGTCAGAGCTACAGGTTGAAGTTCCTTTACTTTGAAATTATTTTATTGTGCATGTTAACTTCTACTTGGAGAAGAATTTATTCAAGATAGGTCAGATGAAGGGCATTAAAAGAAATCTAAAATAGAGTAGTTCTGTACAAAATCATTTCATAATTTTTTATTACTTATAGCCTCCACTTCCCTCCCCAAAAAGAGAAAGAGTTTTGCTGGCCAGATGGTTTCTAAATTTAAAATTCTATGGGTAAGAATTTAATTGCTATTCATGTGCAGGATCAAGTTCCACCTTTTCCATCAGAGACTGGAGTATCTATTGTTGAAGAAGAGCTTGGAGGCCCCGTAGATGGTATCTTTGACCGGTTTGACTTTGAACTCATTGCTGGTGCTAGTCTTGGTAACCTTAATGTTCTCTATGATTCTTTGATGTGGAAGTTTTTTGCCATTGCATAAGGTAAAGTGGTAAAAGGTGGACTATGATGTGGTTAGTGTGACCATTGTCAAATCACAAAATTGTATACACATAACACACACACACAAACACAACACGTGCATATATTTCCAATTTTTGCATGAAGGCTTTACGGAGTTTTTTTCTATCTGGTGCTAAGTGGTATATTCAATTATTGATAACAAATTCTTGTTCCTCCTTTTTTTTTTTTTTCTGTTTTCTTTCGTTTCAATTATTTCCTTAAAAATAATTTCCCAACTCTTTCCAATTTATTGAACTTGTTAATAGTTTGACTAAAATAACTTGGAAATAGGAAATGCTCCAAGATTAGTTCAAGTCTAGCTATGCCTAAAAGTTAATGAACTAATGCTGTCATGTGATACTCTATTGCTTTAAAAACACAATAAAGAATGCCTATGTAATTAGATACATGAAGAAAAGTAACTTCATACACTTTTATGAGCATGTTATGTTTAACACATGATTAAAAGAAAGCATTAAATGAAATGAGAGAAACATTGATTGGTATTACCATTTACCAATATTAAAAGCTTAACTTTAACTTATTTTCCCCTAATATTAGGGTCATTTGAACTTATAAAAAGTGACCTAAGTTTACTAAGGATGTGTCTTAAATTGCTGTCAATAACACAATGTTGATCCGTATAACTGTTCTTTCATATTTGGAAAAGGACATGTTTGTCTGTTAGTTTATTTATTTTATTTTTGTATTAATCATCCACTTTTTATTTTACACGTGCGCTTAACATATTAAGTCTCTATCTAAGGTAAATTTTCACAAAGCCACTCTCTTTAACTATAAACAAATTGGAGTTAACTTTCTTGTCATCACAAATTTTATTTTGTTGCATTATATGTTGTAAAAATTAATATATTCTTTCCATGTGGTACAAGGTAGACTAACTTGGTCATTTTGCTTTCTTTGCATTTTTTTTCTTAAATTTAGCCGTACCCATATTATAAATATTAATTTCAATTTGGATTGCTGATATTTCTTATCAAGCTTATGCAGGAAGGTTCTTTATTGAAAGCTGATGCTCAAAAGATTCCCCATGTTGTAAGACTGAATGAAATTACATTAATGAATTACCAAGAGATGAAAAGAATATTGATGGAGAAGGTGGTAAAATAGTTAGAGTATAGAAGTCAGAAGTAAAATCAGATATAGATAGAAGAAATTAGAAAGAAAAGGGGAAATTAAGGGAGAATTAGAAGAATAAGAGATTACCTCCTGGTCCGGGCTTCCTATTTTTGGAAACCTTTTCATGATGGGGAACAAACCTCACCGAGATCTTCAACAGTTGGCCCGGAAGTATGGCCTCATAATTCCCTTACGCTTTGGCCTGATGCCTGTAATTGTTATCTCATCCCCTGAAGCTCCTGAGCTATATTTTATGGAATTTGTGAAAGAATGCATCATGACAAATTCATTGTTTTACCTTTTATTGAATAAAATTAATATTCCTGTGTTGCATATATAAATAGAATTGCTAATTTGCGGAAGGAATTGGTTTTGAATTATTGACATGATCCAGTATTCAGTAACATTATCAGGGTATTAACTTTTCTTGAGATCCTTTGTTATTTTGCCTTTTGTCTTTTTAGATGGTTGATGGAATATGGAAGTTTAAGGGGTGGCTTAAGGTTGGGCCTATGTCCTTGAGATAAATCCTTTGATGTTTAAATTGTGATAGCTGGCAAAACCTGGCAATGCTTTTTAGGGAACACAAACCAAATTAAGTAGTGGGCCAAGCCAACTATTACAATCTATATCTAATAGAAAAAATTTTGAATATGCAAAAGTTGTTCAAATTGATGAGCTAGAAGTGTTTAAGATGATGGATATGTCAATTATGATTTATCATGTATGGAAATTACTTTGTGTATAAAGTTTTGCTAAAGAAAGGTTTTCTTCTGAAAGAGATTTAAGGGCTATATGACTTGCCTTTTGTTTTTTACTGTTAAAGCAAAATGGTCTAATCTATGCCTTGTTCAACTGATTTAGTTTTCATGCACTGCAAAGAAGCAGGACTAGTTTTTAAATTTGCTTTTGGACAGTCATTTTAGTTATAGTGTGTTGTTTCTAATTGCCTTTTCTTTAGTTCTTATAATGTTGTTATGGTTTCTAGTTGTTGGTGTTATATATCCAGTTTTAAGGTTGCATTCATACAGGAGGAATGACTGAGGAAAAGAAAGTTCTAAGGCGGAAGACCCTGGCAAAGTGGTTAAAGGAAAGTATCTTGAGATTGGGTCCTACTTTCATCAAAGTTGGCCAACTGTTCTCCACAAGGGTTGACATTCTTGCTCAAGAATATGTTGATCAGTTGTCAGCGCTACAGGTTGAAGTTCCTTTACTTTAAAATTTTATACTTTTTGGGTGAAATTCCTTTATTGTTGATGTTAGCTTCTACTTGGAGAAGAATTTATTCAAGGTAGGTAAGATGAAGGGCATTAAAAGAAATCTAAAATAGAGCGGTTCTGTACAAAATCATTTCATAATTTTCTATTACTTCTAGCCCCCACCTCCTTTCCCAAAAAGAGAGAGTTTTGCTGGCCAGATGGTTTCTAAATTTAAAATTCTATAGGTAAGAATCTAACTACTATTCATGTGCAGGATCAAGTTCCACCTTTTCCATCAGAGACTGCAGTATCTATTGTTGATGAAGAGCTTGGAGGCCCTGTAGATGGTATCTTCGACTGGTTTGACTTTGAACCCATTGCTGCTGCTAGTCTTGCTAATCTTAATGTTATCTATGATTCTTTGATGTGGAAGTTTTTTGCCATTGCATAAGGTAAAGTGGTAAAAGGTGGATTATGATGTCGTTAGTGTGACCATTGTCAAATCTCAAATTGTATAGACATGCAACACACACACACACACACAATGCATATGCATATATTTCAATTTTTTCGTGAAGGCTTTACAGAATTTTGTTTTATCTGGTGCTAAGTGGTATATTCAATTATTCATAACAAATTCTTTTTCCTCTTTTTTTTTTTTCTGTTTTCTTTCACTTCACTTATGTCCTTAAAAATAATTTCCCAACTCTTTCCAATTTATTGGACTTGTTAATAGTTTGACTAAAAATAACTAAAAATAACTTTGAAATAGGGAATGCTTCAAGATTAGTTCAAGTCTAGCTATGCCTAAAAATTAATGATCTAATGCTGTCATGTGATAATATGCCAAGAACTGTTACTACTCTGTTGGTTTAAAGACACATTAAAGTGGCATCTAATGCCTATGTAATTAGATACATGAAGAAAAATAACTTCATACACTTGTATGAACATGTTACGTTTAACACATGATCAAAAGAAAGCATTAAAAGAAATGAGAGAAACATTGATTGGTATTACCATTTACCGATATTAAAAGCTTTACTTTAACTTATTTTCCCCTAATATTGGCGTCATTTGAACTTATAAAAAGTGACCTAAGTTTGCTAAGGATGTGTCTTAAATTGCTGTCAATAACACAATATTGATCCATATAACTGTTCTTCATATTTGGAAAAGGACATGTTTGTCTCTTAGTTTATTTCTTTTATTTTTGTATTAATCATCCACTTTTTATTTTACACACACGCATAGCATATTAAGTGCCTATTTAAGGTAAATTTTCACAAAACCACTCTCTTTAACCATAAACAAATTGGAGTTAACTTTCTTGTCATCACAAACTTTTATTCTGTTACATTATATGTTGTAAAAATTAATATATTCTTTCCATGTGGTACAAGGTAAACTAACTTGGTCATTTTGCTTTCTTTGCTTTTATTTTTTTTCTTAAATTTAGCCATGCCCATATTATAAATATTAATATCAATGAGTTTGAAATATATAGAAGAGTCAGTTCAAAAACAGAAGAAACAAATGGCCTTCAACATGTTTAAACAATAAAGGAATGTGAGAACATGCATATGATAATAGTGTGTTAGTTGATTAAATGGAATTCACTGATTTATTTATTTTTCTTTTGCAGGCCAAGTCCATCGGGCAAAATTGAAGGGCCAAGAAGTTGTTATCAAAGTACAAAGGCCTGGTTTAAAGGATCTCTATGATATTGATCTTAAAAACCTGAGGGTGAGTTTTACTATTTATTTTGAAATTATCTTTTCCGTTTGTTCAGAGCGTAGCTGAATAATGTTATCTTCTTATCATGATGTCATCATGCCTATGGTTTCTTAGCTTCTGTGGCGTTGGATACATTCACTTTACTCTTAAATTTGCTCGGCAAACATGATTTATGCTATCACTACCGGTTAGTACTAAGACACTTCTTGTGTATGAGATGATCTTCAAAGGTACAGTTTTGGACATGACAACCACTAAGGAAGGTTGAAAATTCTGATCCTATCTCTCTTTTTGTTGGGCCTCAGGTAATAGCAGAATATCTTCAAAAGGTTGACCCAAAGTCAGATGGTGCAAGGAGAGACTGGGTTGCGATTTATGATGAATGTGCAAGTGTGTTGTATCAGGTGGCCCCATTACTGCATCAGAAGCAATCAACTGCCTTGCTTCTGATTCTGAATTGCTTTATTCAATGTTATATTGCTTGCAATTTGGAATGTTGATATTTCTTATCAAGCTTATGCAGGAAGGTTCTTTATTTTGGTTGCCAAAGAAGTTTCCTTTTGCCTATTGAAAGCTGATGCTCAAAAGATTCCCCATGTTGTAAGAGTGGACGAAATTACATTAATGAATTACCAAGAGATTAGAACAACATTGATAGAGAACGTGGTAAAATAGATAGAGTATAGAAGTCAGAAGTAAAATCAGATATAGATAGAAGAAATTAGAAAGAAAAGGGGAAATTAAGGGAGAATTAGAAGAATAAGAGATTACCTCCTGGTCCGAGAGGGCTTCCTATTTTTGGAAACCTTTTCATGATGGGGAACAAATCTCACCAAGATCTTCAACAGTCAGCCCACAAGCATGGCCCCATAATTCCATTAGGCTTTGGCCTGATGCCTGTATTTGTTTTCTCATCCCCTGAAGCTCCCGAGCTATTCCTCAAGACATATGACCTTGTTTTTGCTAGCAGGCCACCCCATGAAGGTGCCAAGCATGTCGGTTACAATCAGCAGAATTTGTCCTCCCTCAAACCATGAGAAAATGGCTATGTAATCTCTACAAGAGTATATTTTCTGGATACATTTGTTGCCTTCTCTAGTACTTTAACTTTTCTCGTTTGAACGCAAGCTTTATGGATTTATCATATCTAATTAACATGATTGAATAATTAAGATCTAGATTAATTACCTTTTGTTGGATATCCAATTTAAAACAAAGTATCATAGTTTTTTTTTTAAATTTACAATCATATGATATGATGTATTGATATAATATTAGATTTTAAATTTTAGAATACATTTGGACTAATCATAAAGTTAGAAAAAAAAAGGCTTTGATAAAAGATTGTCTTGATTTAATTCAACTTAGTATTTTTGCTGCAATTTTATAAACGAAGCGATATTATTATTAATATATAAAAAATTTTAAGGAAAAATATTATATAGCAAGTTTGGCCCTATGCAGAAAAGAAAATTCTTGGATTTATCTATGTATGCTCATATATATATAATTTATAGTTTATTAATGTTAATAATGATTAAAATCAAAATAATTTATAAATTTCATGTACCAATTTTAGCGATAAATTATAAGGATTGCAATGGAAAGAAATACAAATTATCATAAATTGCGTCATCTATAAGAAAACAAAATGATAAATTAGACCAATAAATAAAAGCCCACCATTAAAATGTTTGTTTTTCCTGAAACGGCGTCGCTGCTTATGTGGCCTACCACTCTTAACGTCGTCGTTACTTGATCGAGAACGTATTTGGAATTGAATCTGCAATTCTGCATGATGAAAATTGAATTTTAAACCCTAAAACCCCCTGCGGGGAATTCCTCAAAAACTTCCATGCATACCCTCAAATCATCTTCCATTTTCTCAACTTCCTATTTTCTCAATTTTTCGTTAAAACCCAAATCATTTATTTTTATTCTCTCATATTCTTCTTCCACCTCTGTTTCGAATCCTCCCCTTTTCAATTACCTTGTAAAAAACTTGGATTTCACTGAAACCCAAGCTGTTTCAATCTCTAATCGTTACTCTCATGGGAAATCCCTCCAAAAGGCTCATTCGGTTGCCAATTTTTTCCAAAGTCTTGGCTTTTCTAATGCCCAAATAGCCTCTGCTGTTCATGTGGCGCCCCAAATTCTGTTTGCTGATGTAGAAAAGAAGCTTAGGCCAACAATCAAGCTTTTTCAAGATCTGGGTCTTGTGGAACCCCATCTGGGTAAGTTCTTTTCTAGGAATTCTACGCTTTTAACTTGTAGTTTACATAAAAAGTTGATTCCTTTTATCCAATTTGTCAATAAAATTTTAGGGAATAATAATGAAGACTTGTTTAAGGTCTTCAATAGATGCAATGGTTTTATTGCTAGAGATGGCATATCAAACTTGTCGAGAAACATTGAGTATTTTGAAAGCTGTGGGATTGTTGGATCTCAGCTCTCAAAGTTGTTAATGAGACAACCTAGGATTTTTAGGATGCGAGAATCGGCATTAAGGGATCTCGTTACGAGGGTTGTAGATATGGGGATTTCGACTGATTCGAGGATGTTAGTGCACGGTATTCATACCTTGAGTTGCTTGAGTGAACAAACATTTAAGAAGAAATGTGAATTACTTAAGACTTTTGGTTTTTCAGACAATCATTGCCTGGTTTTGTTTAGGAAGAACCCAGCTTTTTTTAGGGTCTCTGAGGAGAAAATGAAGTTAGGAATTGAGTTCTTTCTTAATGTGGCAAAGTTTGATCGGAATGTTTTGGCTTACAAGCCAAATCTTTTGATGAGTAGTTTGGAAGATCGTGTGATTCCTAGATACCGAGTTTTTCAGATTATTAACTCCAAGAAGTTGTTGAAAACGGATCGGAGTTTTTATTCCATCTTGGAATATACAGAGAATAAATTCTTGGAGTTCATATCAAGGTTTCCAGATGATGTGGAAGAACTGTTGATGGCTTACAAAGCTCATCTTTTGCACACTTCTTCTTCGGAAGAAGAAGAAAACACATGATAAAAGTCTGTTTCTAGGCCAATGCTTTTGATGAGTAGTTTGGGAGATCGTGTGATTCCTCAATATTGAGTTTTGCAGATTATTAAGTAGAAGGAGTTGTTGAAAATGTATTGGAGTTTTCTTTACATCATGGAATATACTGAGAATGAATTCTTGAAGTTCATGTCAAGGTTTCCAGATGATGTGGAGGAACTGCTGATGGCTTACAAGGCTCATCTTTTGCATACTTCTTTTTGAGAAGAAAAAACATGCTAAGTCTGTTTTTATTTAATTTGGTTTTACTTTATCAAGGCCACTTTTGAGCTTTCATGTTGATTCAAGATGGTCCTCGTATACTAATTTGTCTTTTAATTTAGTTTATATTTGATCTGAATTTATATTTTATGCCATTTTTTGTTTTTGAACTATTTTGAGAGAAATTTGTTCAGCTTTTCTTCGTCATGAATAAAGAGCTGTCTTCAAAAAGAAGAAAAAAAAAAAAAAAAAACACTTCGGAGGAAAAGAAAGGCTTGATATGGTGATGTTTAATTTATGATTCATCAATTATGCATATGTGGTATGGATTTCATGTATGAGACTAACAAAGATGGAATAGACATAAAAGAATTAGATAGAATACCCTAAATAACTGTGAACTATTACAGTTTTTTTTTTAATGTGCTACTTAATCAAAAAAAAAATTTTAATTGGTATCTAAATTAATTAAATTATTTTAATCCCTAAGATCGTTAGAATAAGCCTTAATGTAGTTAACAGTGATGTGGATGAGACGTGATTATTATGTGATAGTGATGTGATTGTTTCTTGTAATATTTAAAAAAGAAAACAAAAATACAAAAATGTTTTTTTTTCTATTTTTAAATTATTTTATTTAAAAAATTTTGTATTTTTATTTTTTAAAATATGACATGTGGAATCCGTATTATTCTCATATGGTAATCACATGTAATTCACGTCAATGTTGACTGCCAAATTAGCACTTACTCTAATGATTTTTAAAATTGGAATAACTTAATAAATAAAAATGAAATTTAAGTAACTATTTAAAAATTTTTAATTTAGATATCACATTAAAAATACAATAATAGGTTCTATTTATGATATTAACTCAAAAATAATTATTACTAACATTCATACCAACTTGACAACAAGTGAGGGATTGAGCTGATGATACATTGGTCTGGACTCGTAAATTTGCATTTGTTGGTTTTGATTAATGAAAAAAAAAAGAAAATCCTTGTAAAATCTGGAAACTTGACCATGTGACCAATGCTTTGTACACCAGACCGGGGTTAGGTTTTCCCCTTTTGGGTTAGTTTAGGGCTGCTCAACATCAACTGACAGGCTGACCTGACTAAGCGTTCATTTGGATTCAACTGAAGCTCCATTGAAATCTAGTTGAAGCATTTCACTGGACTGATGAAGTGTTTGAAAAGCACAATTCAGTGCGTTTCATGCTCTTCAATTGCACTGGAGGTTTAAAAACATTTCACTCTCATCGCAGCATTTCTTTCCTTTATTACCCATGCTCCCTCTTCTTTTTTTTTTTTTTTTTTTTACCCTTAAAATTTTCTGTGCAGAGATGAAAATGTCCGTATCACTTGTATGCTATGGTTTTATCTTTTGTATTATTTATTTGTTTTATTGGTTATTTTAGTTTTTTTATTTAAATATTTTCAAATAATATCATTATAATTATTTAATAAATTTTTTATATAATTAATAAATTAAGTAATAAAATAAAAGGCTAAAAAATTTTTAATTGTTTATTATTTTTATTAATTTTTAATAAATTTATTATTTATTATAAAAATTAATTCAAAAATGTAAAAAATATATTAAAAATTTTATTATACAAATTTTTATTTAATATCTTTAATGATTATTTTTTCTTCTCGTTATATTTTATTTCATCGTTATGTTTGCATTTAAACACATATCTTATCATTAATTTTAATCTCAATTTTATAATATTTAATTTTATCATTATCATATCTGATTTTATTTTTATCATTTTTTTTAATTTTATTAAAATTAATTTTATCGTTTATCCAAATAAATCACAAGTGAATGTTAGATATCATTATATTTTTAATGTGATGAGTTAAATTTATTTTATTATTAATTAAATTTAAATAATAATTTTGATGAAATTTATTTAAATAAAATTTTTTAATTATAATTATTATATTTTTTAATCATAATTATAATATTTTTATTATTACTTTAATCTTATTAAAATCAATCTCGTACTGAAATAAAATTTTAATTCTAATCCAACACACGCGTCTAAGATTTCTTTTTAAAGGTAACTTCAATTAAAACAAAAATTAATTAACGTAAGCTAAAAAGAGTACAATTGAATTTCGTATACTCAATGAGACTTTCTGACCAAGACATCTCCCGCAACAGTCTCCTCCAATCACAATTCTCAAAATACCCACTCTCTCGATACTTCTCTGCCACGTGTCCTCTTAATCTCCACCCTTTTTTTTTTTCTTTCTTTAAAATTACATATATTTCCTTCCTCGCATTTTTCACTTTTTATTTCTTCTTTCCTTCTTCATTTCATTTTCTTAAAATTTGTCCGTTTCTCTTCACTCTCCCACCACAAAACCTTCACAGTTCTAAAACTAACCAAAAAAAAAAAAAGGGGGAAATAATGAAAATTTTGGGTGTTAGTTAGGGTTTGATTCAAATTTTTTGTTGAAAGAAAAAGATAATTCTGTTACATTAATGGCTTCATCTCTACCATTACAAGAGCTTCACTTTCTCACTCCAAGAACAACTTAAAAATACCGCTTTTATCTCTCTAGATGTTCTTCTCTCTTTAGAGTCTCTTTCTCTGGGAATAGCCATTTCTGGAACGGCGTCGTTTCGCGTTCTCGTGTTCGAGTTCTTAAAGAGGAAGGAGTTGCCTACGAGGAAAGGGAGCAAGAATTTATCAAGGAAGTTAACGGTAGGTTTGTATTGAATGGAAATGGTAGTGCAAGTAAGTACCTGTATAATAATGGATCAGTTGAGGGATCTATCAGTGGTGGGGTAGGAGTGGTGGAGAGTGAGAGCAATGGGAGCTTGGTGAAGTACGTGAACGGGAATGGGAATGGTGCTGCGGCGGCGGACGTTTTGGTGGTGGAAGTAGACGGAGTAGTTTCGGAGGAGACGAGGAAGAAGAGGGTAGAAGAGATTGGGAAACAGGAGGCTTGGTTCAAGCGTAGCACTGAAGAACAGGTCGAGGTACTTGGTTTTACTCAGTTGGGAACTTGGAATTGAATTAAAAAATTCATTTTTTTTGTTTTGTTGTTGTTTTTCATTTCGTTGTTCCTTGCTTTTTGATTCTTAAAAATTTCTGCAAACTGCAAAGCAAAGCGAATGATAGAAAGGAAACCATATTAATTCAGAGGCAACAAATGACTGAAGTGACTAAAATACAACAATTTTAACGTAATAGTTCAAAATATAAAAGTAGATTATGTATTTATTCTTTACAAAATGTGATATTTTGTATGATTAATTTTCTAAATTATATGTTTATTTAATCTTGTATTCAAACATTATCTTTCCATTTTGTTTTTCGGAGCAAAAAACAATTAACAAAATTAACAACTAAGTGGTGCCATAATTTTTTGAAATACATGTTGCTTCTGCTATTATATAATAGTTAGATATAGGGTTTATGGAATTTGAATTTTATAAGAATGGAATAAAAGAAATCCCAAATCTATTAAATTGGGGTTAATCTGGGTGCATAAATATAACAAGGTCACTCCACTTATTCTTAATTGATTTTAGGTTGCATGTCTATTATATTTAACCCAAATTTAACATATATGAAATTTCTTTTATCTGCACTTTAATAAAATAAATTTGGATGTGAAGGTTTTGCTTGCTTTTAAGCAAATGTACTACTAGTTCAGAGTCTGTAGCATTGCTTTAATTTATCGGTTGTAGATCTGCATGACTGATGCAAAAGTATATACTAACAACAACAAACTGGGCCTTATAGCATAACTCTGGGTTAGTTGTATGAAAGGCCAAAAAAAGAATCATGCTAGGTTGTAGTTTTGAATCTTTTTGCGCCATTTATTTATATCAACAACACCCTTTTCATCTACTTTCCTAACACTTATATCATTTTTTATTATTTGCATTCATTTCTTTTGTGATCTGCCTCTAGAAGTTTTGGTTTCACCTAAATCTAGAAGCTCAATTCTCTTAACTGGTGCACAAATAGGCCTATGTTTTACATGTCCAAATCATCTCAAACGGCCCTCTCCCATCCTTTGTTCAATTCAGACTATCCCTAATTTTTTTGGAATCTCTTCATTTCTGATTTTGTCTCTTCTAGTCTTACCACGCATCTATTTAAGCATCCTTATCTCAGCTACGCTCATTTTCTTCTTATATTATTTCTTAACGACCTAACACTCAGATCCATATAGCAACGCAAGCCTTACAATTGTTTTATACAATTTCGCTTTTAACTTTAAAGTTATGTTGCAATCACATAACACACCCAATGCACTTCACCATCTCACCCTTTTGCTTGAATCATATGATTTATGTCCATTTTAATCTCAGCATCGCTTTGAATAATTGATCCCAAATATAAAAAATGACTACTCTTTGATACTACCCACCATCCAACTTAATCACACTAGCACTCGCTTCCCATAATTACTAAACTTACATTTCATATATTTAGTTTTAGATCTACTCAATTTTATGCTTTGAGACTTCAATATATGCTTCTATAATTCTAATTTCACATTAAGATTATCATTAGTTTCAACAACTGAGACTATATCATACGCAAATAACATACATCATGGCACTTTAACTTGGATATGTACAGTAAGCTCGTTCATATCTAATGCAAAAAGAAGTGTACCCAGTGCTGAGTCTTGATGCAATACTGAGGTAATGGTAAAGCTTGTAGAATCCTATGATTTACTTACACCATGGCAGTAACATATACCAATTTTTTTTTCCTTTTCAACTTATTACTTATTTGACAGTCAAGAGGACTATGTATGGCTACTAACAACAAAATCTGAGTTTGCAAATTTAATAGAGAAGTTGATTAATTTGTTCATATTTTGTCCAATGGTTGGGCTATACAAGGGGTGGCTTCCCCCTCTTAATTCTTAAACCTCTCAATCTTGAAGATGATATTAGATCCCAAGTTGGTCGGGCGAGAACCAAAAATGGTGGAGCATATTTAAGCTAGTAACAAGGTGCTTTTTCCTGGATGTGCATTCTCACCGTTTTCTTTGATGTATATTTGATATTTACTTGACTTACAGAGTATATGCTAAGCTGACTGCATCAATCTTTTTTAGTGTCACAACCATCTCTTTTTTGGTGTGCTTTCTAATTAAGTATAAGCTGTGGATGTGTCTGGGTGTGTTTGTGTGTTCCCCTTTAATTTTGTGTTAACCATCATCTTATGGCAATAAATCTCTAAGGTTTCTGTTGCTCCTGCGGGGCGTTGGAGTAGATTCAAAACCTACTCAACAATGCAAAGGACCTTGGAAATATGGGGATTTGTTCTAACTTTTATATAAAGACATGGTTGAACAATCAGAAATTCTCCGATAGAGGTCAGTGACTGCTAGATTTGCGGTTTTTTTTTTCTTTTGCTCTTAAAGACGTATTGTTTCCACTCTGGTCTTCTTGGCAAATATAATTTGTCTTACAGTAAAGCATTTCTTTCTTCCACATGATGAAACAAAAGGAAACAAAAATAAAAGTAGATAGTGTATGCCTCAATGTCAATTGGTTTTGGTTAGGTTAGAGGTCATCTGCTTCATGGTTTTGCAGCTGTTAAATAATGAAGTCCATCTGCATGACTGTCTGCAACTGCCCCATATTTTCATTTTGACAATTGTTTAGATTGTAAAAATTGGAAAATCCCAAATTTCATCCATGACATATGATGCTAAGTGACATTTTATGGAATTTGTGAAAGAATGCATCATGACAAATTCATTGTTTTACCTTTTATAAACCCTAATTATAGTTTTACTAGATAAAAGGATTTTATTGAATAGAATTAATATTCCTGTGTTGCATATATAAATAGAATTGCTAATTTGCGAAAAGAATTGGTTTTGAATTACTGACATGATCCAGCATTCAGTAACATTATCAGGGTATTAAATTTTCTTGAGATCCTTTGTTATTTTGCCTTTTGTCTTTTTAGATGGTTGATGGAATATGGAAGTTGCACCAAATGGTGGAATATGGAAGTTTAAGGGGTGGCTTAAGGTTGGGCCTATGTCCTTGAGATAAATCCTTTGATGTTTAAATTGTGATAGCTGGTGAACCTAGCAATGCTTTTTAGGGAGCACAAACCAAGTTAAGTAGTGGGCTAAGCCCACTATTACAATCTATATCTAATAGGAAAAATTTTGAATATGCAAAAGTTGTTCAAATTGATGAGCTAGAAGTGTTTAAGGTGATGGATAAGTCAATTATGATTTATCATGTATGGAAATTACTTTGTGTATAAAGTTTTGGTAAAGAAAGGTTTTCTTCTGAAAGAGATTAAGGGCTATATAACTTGGCTATTGTTTTTTACTGTTAAAGCAAAATGGTCTAATCTATGCTTTGTTCAACTGATCTAGTTTTCATGCTTTGCAAAGAGGCAGGACTAGTTTTTAAATTTGCTTTTGGGCAGTCTATTTTGTTATAGTGTGTTGTTTCTAATTACGGTTTCTTTAGTTCTTATAATGTTGTTATGGTTTCTAGTTGTTTGGTGTTATATATCCAGTTTTAAGGTTGCATACAAGCAGGAGGAATGACTGAGGAAAAGCAAGTTCTAAGGTGGAAGACCTTGACAAAGTGGTGAAAGGAAAGTACCTTGAGATTGGGTCCTATTTTCATCAAAGTTGGCCAACAGTTCTCCGCGATGGTTGACATTTTTGCTCAAGAATATGTTGATCAGTTGTCAGAGCTACAGGTTGAAGTTCCTTTACTTTAAAATTTTATACTTTCGGGGTGAAATTCTTTTATTGTGGATGTTAGCTTCTACTTGGAGAAGAATTTATTCAAGATAGGTCAGATGAAGGGCATTAAAAGAAATCCAAAACAGAGAAGTTCTGTTCAAAATCATTTCATAATTTTTTATTACTTATAGGCCCCACTTCCCTCCCCAAAAAGAGAAAGAGTTTTGCCGGCCAGATGGTTTCTAAATTTAAAATTCTATAGGTAAGAATTTAATTGCTATTCATGTGCAGGATCAAGTTCCACCTTTTCCGTCAGAGACTGCAATATCTATTGTTGAAGAAGAGCTTGGAGGCCCTGTAGATGATATCTTTGACATGTTTGACTTTGAACCTATTGCTGCTGCGAGTCTTGGTAATCTTAATGTTCTCTATGATTCTTTGATGTGGAAGTTTTTTGCCATTGCATTAAGGTAAAGTGATAAAAGGTGGATTATGATGTGGTTAGTGTGGCCATTGTCAAATCACAAAATTGTATACACACACACACACACACACACACACAACACGGGTGCATATATTTCCAATTTTTGCTTGAAGGCTTTGCAGAGTTTTGTTCTATCTGGTGCTAAGTGGTATATTCAATTGTTCATAACAAATTCTTTTCCTCTTTTTTTTTCTGTTTTCTTTCGATTCACTTATTTCCTTAAAAATAATTTTCCAACTCTTTCCAATTTATTGGACTTGTTAATAGTTTGACAAAAATAACTTGGAAATAGGAGATTCTCCAAGATTAGTTCAAGTCTAGCTATGCCTAAAAGTTAATGATCTAATGCTGTCATGTGATACTCTATTGCTTTAAAAACACATTAAAGAATGCCTATGTAATTAGATACATGAAGAAAAATAACTTCATACACTTTTATGAACATGTTATGTTTAATCAGATAAGAGTATAGAAGTCAGAAGTAAAATCAGATATAGATAGAAGAAATTAGAAAGAAAAGGGGAAATTAAGGGAGAATTAGAAGAATAAGGGATTACCTCCTGGTCCGAGAGGGCTTCCTATTGGAAACCTTTCCATGATGGGGAACATCATCAACAGTTAGCCCACAAGTATGGCCCCATAATTCCCTTACGCTTTGGCCTGATGCCTGTAATTGTTGTCTCATCCCCTGAAGCTCCCGAGCTATTCCTCAAGACGTATGACCTTGTTTTGCTAGCAGGCCACCTCATGAAGGTGCTAAGCATGTTGGTTACAATCAGCAGAATTTGTCCTCCTCCCCATACGGGTCCTATTGGCGCAACATGCATAAGCTGTGCACTCTAGAGTTGCTTAGGAGCCTCAAAATCGATTCTTTTAGTTCCATGAGAAAGGAAGAGCTTCTTCTTTTAATTCAGTATATTCAAGGGGCTGCTTCTGCTCGAGTTGCTGTTGATCTTAGCGCTAAGTTCTCATCTCTTAGTACTGATATTTCTAGTAGAATGGTGCTTGGAAAGAAATATAATAATGATGATTTCAATAAAAAAGGCTTCGAAGCTATAATTCGAGAGGGCATGCAAACAATTGCTGCTTTTAATTTAGCTGATTACATTCCTCAAATTAAAGGACTTGATCTTGAGGGTCTAACAAAGCATCTGAAAACTATTGCCAAGGTTTTTGACGACTTCTTTGAGAAGATAATTGGTGAGCTTGTTCAATCCAAAGGTGAAAACAGAATCGTGGACTTCATTGATGTCATGCTAGGATTCATTGGATCAGAAGAAACTGATGAGTACCATGTGGAGCGGGATAATATGAAAGCAATAATATCGGTAGTCTTCTTTTGTGCTCACTTACTTGTCCATTCACTCCATTGTGAATTTTGGTCTAAAAAATGTTTATGACAATTCCTGCAGGACATGCTTGTAGCTTCAATGGATACTTCAGCTGCTGCAATTGAGTGGACACTGTCCGAACTCATTAGACATCTACGGGTGACAAAGGAAGTCCAAAAAGAACTGGAAAATGTGGTAGGCATGGAGAGGATGGTCGAAGAGTCAGACTTGGAGAAATTGATGTACTCAGACATGGTTGTGAAAGAAAGCTTTAGGTTTCACCCAGTGGTACCATTGCTGCTCCCGCATTTATGTATGGAAGACTGCAAAGTGATTGGCTATCCGATACCCAATAATTCACGATCTTCATAAACGCAGGGGCTATAGGTCGGGACCAAAAGGTTTGGACTGATGCAGAGAAGTTTTATCCAGAGAGATTTGTTGGAAGCGGCATTGATCTTCGTGGACCCAACTTCCAGCTAATCCCATTTGGTTCTGGGCGCAGAGGCTGCCCTGGAATGCAACTGGGTTTACTGTTCGGCTTGTGGTGGCACAATTGGTGCATTGCTATGATTGGGAACTCCCGGATGATATGTTGGCTACGGACTTGGACATGGCTGAGGATTTAGGTCTAGTATGTCCTAGGGCCGAGCATCTACTGGCTATACCAACCAGGCGCCTCAAAACATGAGAATGGCTGTGTAATTTCTAGAAGAGTATATTTTCTGGATATATTTGTTGCCTTCTCTAGTACTTCAGTTTTTCTCGTTAGAACGCAAGCTTTATGGATTTATCATATCTAATTAACATGATTAAACAAATAAGATCCAGATTAATTACCTTTTGTTGGATATCCAATCTAAAACAAAGTATCCTAGTATTTTTTTAATTTTACAATCATATGATGTATAGATATAATATTATATTTTTAATTTCAGTATTCATTTGAACTAATCATAAAGTTAGAAAAGAAAAGGCTTTAATAGAACATTATTTTGATTTAACTCAACATATTATTTTTGCTGCAATTTTATAAACGAAGCAATATTGGCATTACCATATATAAAATTTTAAGGAAAAATACTATACAGTAAGTTTGGGCCTATGGGGAAAAAAATCTTGAATTTATCTTTGTATGCTCATGTATTTTTTATTTATAGTTTATTAATGTTAACAATGGTTAAAATCTAAATAATTTATAAATTTCATATACCAATTTTAGCGGTAAATTATAAGGATTAAAATGGAAAGAAATACAAATTATCATAAATTGCATCATCTATAAGAAAATAAAAACATAAAATAGACCAATAAATAAAAAGTCCACCCTTAAGAAGTTTGTTGTTCCAGAAACGGCATCGCTGCTTATATGGCTATCTGCTCTAAACGTCGTCGTACTTGGTCGAGAATGTATTTGGAATTGAATCTGCAGTTCTGCATGATGAAAATTGAGTTTTAAACCCTAAAACCCCCTGCAGAGAATTCCTCAAAGACCTCAATGCAAACCCTCAAATCATGTTCCATTTTCTCAACTTCCTATTTTCTCAATTTTTCGTTAAAACCCAAATCATTTTTTTTTATTCTCTCATATTCTTCTTCCACCTCTGTTTCGAACCCTCTTCTTTTCAATTACCTTGTAAAAAACTTGGATTTCACTGAAACCCAAGCTCTTTCAATCTCTAATCGTTACTCTCATGTGAAATCCCTCCAAAAGGCTCAATCGGTTGCCAATTTTTTCCGAAGTCTTGGCTTTTCTAATGCCCAAATAGCCTCTGCTGTCCGTGTGACGCCTCAAATTCTGTTTGCTGATGTAGAAATGAAGCTTAGACCAAAAATCAAGCTTTTTCAAGATCTGGGTCTTGTGGAAACCCATCTGGGTAAGTTCTTTTCTAGGAATTCTACGCTTTTAACTTGTAGTTTAGATAAAAAGTTGATTCCTTCTATCCGATTTTTCAAGAAAATTTTAGGGAATAGTAATGAAGACTTGTTTAAGGTCTTCAATAGATGCAATGGTTTTATTGCTAGAGATGACATATTAAAGTTGTCGACAAACATTGAGTATTTGGAAAGCTGTGGGATTGTTGGGTCTCAGCTCTCAAAGTTGTTAACGAGACAACCTAGGATTTTTAGGATGCGAGAATCGGCATTAAGGGATCTCGTTGCAAGGGTTGTAGATATGGGGTTTTCGACTGATTCGAGGATGTTAGTGCACGCTATTCATACCTTGAGTTGCTTGAGTGAACAAACATTTAAGAAGAAATGTGAATTACTTAAGACTTTTGGGTTTTCGGACAATGATTGCCTCGTTATGTTCAGAAGGACCCCAGGTGTTTTTAGGGTCTCTGAGGAGAAAATGAAGTTAGGAATTGAGTTCTTTCTTAATGTGGCAAAGTTTGATAAGAATGTTTTGGTTTCTAGGCCAATTTTTTTGATGAGTAGTTTGGAAGATCGTGTGATTCCTAGATACCAAGTTTTGCAGATTATTAAGTCCAAGAAGTTGTTGAAAACAGATCGGAGTTTTCTTTACATCTTGGAATATACAGAGAATAAATTCTTGGAGTTCATATCAAGGTTTCCAGATGATGTGGAAGAACTGTTGATGGCTTACAAAGCTCATCTTTTGCACACTTCTTCGGAAGAAGAAGAAAACACATGATAAAAGTCTGTTTGTAGGCCAATGCTTTTGATGAGTAGTTTGGGAGATCATGTGATTCCTCAATATTGAGTTTTGCAGATTATTAAATAGAAGGAGTTGTTGAAAATGTATTGGAGTTTTCTTTACATCATGGAATATACAGAGAATGAATTCTTGGAGTTCATGTCAAGGTTTCCAGATTATGTGCAGGAACTGCTGATAGCTTATAGGGCTCATCTTTTGCACACTTCTTTTTGAGAAGAAAAAACATTCTAAGTCTGTTTTTATTTAATTTGGTTTTACTTTATCAAAGGCCACTTTTGAGCTTTCATGTTGATTCAAGATGGTCCTCGTATACTAATTTGTCTTTTAATTTAGTTTATATTTGATCTATACACTTAACAGTGTATAGAATTTATATTTTATGCCATCTTTTGTTTTTGAACTATTTTGAGACAACTTTGTTCAGCTTGTCTTCATCATGAATAAAAAGTTCATCCTTTTACTGTCTTCAAAAAGAAGGGAAAAAAAATACACTTCGCAGGAAAAGAAAGGCTTGATATGGTGATGTTTAATATATGATTCATCAATTATGCATATGTGGTATGGATTTCATGTATGAGACTAACAAAAATGAAATAGACAAAAGAATTAGAGCTAATAACCTAAATAGCTGTGAACCATTTCACTTTTTTTTTTTTTTTTAATGCGCTACTTAAACAAAAAATATGTTTTAAATTGGTATCTAAATTTCATTTTCATCTATTAAATTATTCTAAACCCTAAGATCATTAGAATAAACATTAATATAGTTAACAGTGATGTGGATGAGACATGATTATTATGTGACAGTAATGTGAATGTATCATGTAATATTTAAAAATAATAATAAAAAAAAATTACTTTATTTTGTTATTTTAAAATTATTTTATGTTAAAAAATTTTTTTATTTTACAAAATTTTGTATTTTTATTTTTTAAAATATGATGTGGTATCACATTATTATCATATGATACTCACGTATTATTTTCATCAATATTAATTGCCTCATTAACAATTATTCTAATGATTTTTGAAATTGAAATAACTTAATAAATGAAAATAAAATTTAAGTAACTATATAAAAAAATTTTAATTTAGATATTTCATTAAAAAAAAAAAAACAATAATCAAAGTCTATTTAAGAAATTAACACAAAAAAGAATTAGTACTTACAATCATACGAACATGACAACAAGTGATGGGATTGAGTTGATGATACATTGGCCTGGACTCGAAAATTCGCATTTGTTAGTTTCCTTGATGAATAAAAAATGAAAATCCTTGTAAAATCTGGAAACTTGACCATGTGACCAATGCCTAGTACGCCATACTGGGGTCAGTTTATTTATTATTTTTGGGTTAATTTAGGGTTGCTCAACGACAACCGACACGCTGACCTGATTAAGTGGGGATTGGATATCATCGTATTTTTAGTGTGATGAATTGAATTTATTGTGTTATTAATTAAATTTAAATGTTAATTTTGTTAATTGTAATTATAATAATTATTTTTAACCATAATTATAAACTTTTAACTCTTCTCACTGCTATCCAAATAAAATTTTAACTCCAATCCAACACGCGCGTCTAGGTTTTTTTATTTTTATTTTTTTAAAGATAACTTCAATTAAAACAAAAATTAATTGACACGTAAGCTAAAAGGAGAACAATTGAATTTCGTATCGTCAAAGAGACTTTCTGGCTAACACATTTCCTGCAACAATCTTCTCCAATTACAATTCTCAAAATATCCACTCTTTCAATCCTCTCTGCCTCATGTCCTCGCTAATCTCAACCCCCTTCTTTTTTTTATACCTTTTTTTAAAGTTACATATATTTCCTTCCTCGCATTTTTCACATTTTATTTCTACTTTCCTACCTCATTTCATTTTCTTAAAATTTGTCCGTTTGTCTTCACTCTCCCACTACAAAACCTTCACTGTTCTAAAAGTAACCAAAAAAGAAAAGGCAAACAATGAAAATTTTGGGTGTTAGTTAGGGTTCGATTCAAAATTTCTGTTGAAAGAAAAAGATAATTCTGTTACATTGATGGCTTCATTTCTAGCATTACAAGAGCTTCACTTTCTCACTCCAAGATCAACTTCAAAGTACCGCTTTTATCTCTCTAGATGTTCTTCTCTCTCTAGAGTCTCTCTCGCTAGGAATAGCTGTTTCTAGAATGACGTCCTTTCGCTTCTCGTGTTCGAGCTCTCAAATAGGAAGGAGTTGCCTATGAGAAAAGGGAGCAAGAATTTATCAAGGAAGTTAACTTAACGGTAGGTTTGTATTGAATGGAAATGGTAGTGCAAATAAGTACGTGTATAATAATAGATCAGTTGAGGGATATATCAACGATGGGGTAGCAGTGTTGGAGAGCGAGAGCAGTGGGAGCTTGGTGAAGTACGTGAACGGGAATGGGAATAGTGCTGCGGTGGAAGTTGTAGTGGTAGAAGAAGCACTAAAGAACAGATCAAGGTACTTGGTTTTACTTTTGTGGAGTTGGGAACTTGGGATTGATTTTAAAAAATTATTTTTTTGTTTTGTTGTTTTTTTTTTTCGTTATTCCTTGCGTTTTAATTCTTAAGAATTTCCGCAAACTGCAAAGCAAAGCGAATGATAGAAAGAAAACCCTATTAATTCAGGCGTAACAAATGACTGAAGTGACTAAAATACAACAATTTTAACATAATTGTTCAAAATATAAAAGTAGATTATGCATTTATTCTTTACAAAATGTGATATTCCGTATGATTAATTTTCCAAATTATATGTATATTTAATTTTGTATTCAAACATCATCTTTCCATTTTGTTTTTTGGAGCAAAAAACAATTAACAAAATTAACAACTAAGTGGTGCCATAATTTTTTGAAATACATGTTGCTTCTGCTATTATATAATAGTAAGATATAGGGCTTATGGAATTTGAACTTTATTAGAGCAGAATAAAAGAAATCCCAAATCTATTAAATTGGGGTTAATCTAGGCACATAAATATAACAAGGTCACTCCACTTTATTTTTAATTGATTTTAGGTTAGATATCTATTATATTTAACCCAAATTTAACATATATAAAATTTCTTTTATCTGCACTCTAATAATATAAATTTAGACGTGAAGGTTTTGCTTGCTTTTAAGCAAATGTACTACTAGTTCAGAGTTTGTAGCATTGCTTTAACTTATTGGTTGTAGATCTACATCATTGATGCAAAAGTATATTCTTACAATAACACATTAAGTATTATATCATAACTTTGGGTTAGTTGTATGAAAGGCCAAAAAAAAATTCATGTTAAGTTGTAGTTTTGAGTCTTTTTGCACCATTTTATTTTTATCAATAACAACATTTTCATCTATTTTCCTAACACTTATATCATTTATTATTATTTGTATTTATTTCTTTCATGATATATCTCTAGAAGTTATGATTTCACCTAAATCTAGAAACTCATTTTCTCTTAACTGGTGCACTAATAGTCTACGTTTCATATGTCCAATCATCTCAAATGTCCTTTTCTCATCTTTTGCTTAATTTAGACTATCCCTAATTTTTTTGAAATCTTTTCATTTTTGATTTTATCTCTTCTAATTTTATCACGTATCTATTTCAGCATTCTCATCTCAACTACGCTTATTTTCTTCTTATATTATTTTTTAACGACTCAACACTCAGATCTATATAACAATGCAAACCTCACAAGTTGTTTTATACGATTTCGCTTTTAACTTTAAAGTTATGTTGCAATCACATATCACATCCAATGCACTTCACCATCTCACCCTCTTGCTTGAATCATATGATTTTATATCTCTTTTTTATCTCAACATCGCTTTGAATAATTAATCTCAAATATAAAAATTACTACTCTTTAATACTATCCACCAACCAATTTAATCACATTAGCACTCGCTTTTTATGATTTTTAAACTTACATTTCATATATTTTTCTATAATTTTATAAACGAAGAAATATTATTATTACTAAATATAAAATTTTAAGGAAAAATATTATATTCTAAGTTTGGCCCTATAGAGAAAAAAAATCTTGAATTTATCTTTGTATGCTCATGTATGTATGATTTATAGTTTTATTAATGTTAATAATGGTTTAAATCTAAATAATTTATAAATTTCATATACCAATTTTAGCGGTAAATTATAAGGATTAAAATGGAAAGGAATACAAATTATCATAAATTGCATCATCTATAAGAAAACAAAAACATAAATTAAACCAATAAATAAAAAGTCCACCCTTAAGAAGTTTGTTTTGCAAGAAACGGCGTCGCTGCTTGTATGGCCTTCTACTCTAAACGTCGTCGTTACTTGATCGAGAATGTATTTGGAATTGGATCTGCAATTCTGCATAATGAAAATTGAATTTTAAACCCTAAAATCCCCTGCAGAGATTTCCTCAAAAACCTCAATGCAAACCCTCAAATTATCTTCCATTTTCTCAACTTCCTATTTTCTCAATTTTTCGTTAAAACCCAAATCATTTATTTTTATTTTCTCGTATTCTCGTTCCACCTCTGTTTCGAATCCTCCCCTTTTCAATTACCTTGTAAAAAACTTGGATTTCACTGAAACCCAAGCTTTTTCAATCTCTAATCGTTACTCTCATGTGAAATCCCTCAAAAAGGCTTATTCGGTTGCCAATTTTTTCCAAAGTCTTGGCTTTTCTAATGCCCAAATAGCCTCTGCTGTCCATGTGGCGCCCCACATTCTGTTTGCTGATGTAGAAAAGAAGCTTAGGCCAAAAATCAAGCTTTTTCAAGATCTGGGTCTTGTGGAACCCCATCTGGGTAAGTTCTTTTCTAAGAATTCTACGCTTTTAACTTGTAGTTTAGATAAAAAGTTGATTCCTTCTATCCAATTTGTCAAGAAAATTTTAGGGAATAATAATGAAGACTTGTTTAAGGTCTTCAATAGATGCAATGGTTTTCTTGCTAGAGATGACATGTTAAAGTTGTCGAGAAACCTTGAGTATTTGGAAAGCTGTGGGATTGTTGGATCTCAGCTCTCAAAGTTGTTAACGAGACAACCTAGGATTTTTAGGATGCGAGAATCGGCATTAGGGGATCTCGTTACGAGGGTTGTAGATATGGGGTTTTCGATTGATTCGAGGATGTTAATGCATGCTATTCATACCTTGAGTTGCTTGAGTGAACAAACATTTCAGAAGAAATGTGAATTACTTAAGACTTTTGGTTTTTCGGATAATGATTGCCTCGTTATGTTTAGGAAGATCCCCGGTGTTTTTAGGGTCTCTGAGGAGAAAATGAAGTTACGAATTGAGTTTTTTCTTAATGTGGCAAAGTTTGATAAGAATGTTTTGGCTTCTAGGCCAATTCTTTTGATGAGTAGTTTAGAAGATCGTGTGATTCCTAGGTACCGAGTTTTGCAGATTATTAAGTCCAAGAAGTTGTTGAAAACGGATCGGAGTTTTCTTTACATCTTGGATTTTACGGAGCGTAAATTCTTGGAGTTCATATCAAGGTTTCCAGATGATGTGGAAGAACTGTTGATGGCTTACAAAACTCGTATTTTGCACACTTCTTCTTCAGAGGAAGAAAACACATGATAAAAGTCTTTTTCTAGGCCAATTCTTTTGATGAGTAGTTTGGGAGATCATATGATTCCTCAATATTGAGTTTTGCAGATTATTAAGTAGAAGAAGAAGTTGAAAATGTATTGGAGTTTTCTTTACATCATGGAATATACAGAGAATGAATTCTTGGAGTTCATGTTAAGGTTTCCAGATGATGTGGAGGAACTGCTGATAGCTTACAAGGCTCATCTTTTGCACCCTTCTTTTTGAGAAGAAAAAACATGCTAAGTATGTTTGTATTTAATTGGTTTTACTTTATCAAAGGCCACTTTTGAGCTGTCATGTTGATTCAAGATGGTCCTCGTATACTAATATGTCATTTAATTTAGTTTATATTTGATCTATACACTTAACAGTGTATAGAATTTATATTTTATGCCATTTTTTGTTTTTGAACTATTTGGAGACAAATTTGTTCAGCATTTCTTCATCATGAATAAAAAGTTCATCCTTTTACTGTCTTCAAAAAGAAGGGAAAAAATACACTTCCGAGGAAAAGAAAGGCTTGATGTGGTGATGTTTAATTTATGATTCACCAATTATGCATATGTGTTATGGATTTCATGTATGAGACTAACAAGGATGAAATAGGCATAAAAGAATTTGAGATAATACCCTCAATAGCTGTGAAATATTGCACTTTTATTTTTTAATGTGCTACTTAAAAAATATTTTTAAATTGGTGTCTAAATTTCATTTTTGTCTATTAAATTATACTTAACCCTAAGATCATTAGAATAAACTTTAATATGGCTAACAGTGATGTGGATGAGACATAATTGTTATGTGACAGTAATGTGATTGTATCATGTAATATTTAAAAAATTTTTAAAAAGTTATTTTTTTGTTATTTGTAAATTATTTTATTTTAAAAAATTTTGTATTTTTATTTTTTTAAATTATGATATGTGGTATTTTCATTATTATCATATGATAGTCACGAGTTATTTATATCAATATTAATTAACACATTAATAATTATTCTAATGATTTTTGAAATTGAAATAACTTAATAGATGAAAACTAAATTTAAGTAACGATTTAAAATTTTTTAATATAGATATTGCATTAAAAAAAAATACAATAATCAAAGTCTATTTAAGATATTAACCTCAAAAAGAATTATTACTTACAACAAGTGATGGGATTTAGTTGTTGGTACGTTGGCATTTGTTAGTTTCCTCGATGAATTAAAAAAAAAAAGAAAAAATCCTTGAAAAAATCTGGAAACTCGACCATGTGACTCGTGTTAGTTTTTTTTTTTATTATTTAATTGGTTAAGCTCGTTTTTTAAAAGATTTTAGATTTAAATTTTATTAGTGATTATTTATTGAAATAATTTTAAATATATGATTTATAATAATTTATTTTAAATTATTAAAAATAACACATTTTATCTGATTTAAAAAATTAAATAATTTATTTACTTTTAAAATTTTCAAATAAAAAAAAAATTAATTGACACATTGACCCGACTAAGTAGAAGTTGAATATATCATATTTTTAATGTGATGAGTTAAATTTATCGAATTTTTTATTAAATTTAAATATTAATTTTAATTAAAATTATTTTAATAAAAATTTTTAAACACAATTATAATAATTATTTTTACTCATAATTATAAACTTTTAACTCTTCTCATCGTTATCCACATAAACTTTCAACTTTAATCCAACACACGCGTCTAGGATTTCTTTTTTTTTTTAAGATAACTTCAATTAAAACAAAAATTAATTGACACGGAAGCCAAAAAGAGTACAATTGAATTTTGCATAGTCAAAGACTTTCTGGCCAAGACATCTCCAGCAACTGTCTTCTCCAATAACAATTCTCAATATCCGCACTCTCTCAACTGTTCCGCCACGTGTCCCCATAATCTCCACCCTTTTTTTTTTTTTCTATTTTTTAAATTAGATATATTTCCTTCCTCGCTTTTTTCACTTTTTATTTCTTATTTCCTTCGTCATTTAAATTTTTTTAAAATTTGTCCGTTTGTTTTCATTCTGCTACCACGAAACCTTCACAGTTCTAAAAATTACCAAAAAAGAAAAGGAAAATAATGAAAATTTTGGGTGTTAGTTAGGGCTTGATTTAAATTTTCTGTTGAAAGAAAAAGATAATTCTGTTACATTAATGGCTTCATCTCTACCATTATAAGAACTTCATTTTCTCACTCCAAGAAAAACTTCAAAGTACCGCTTTTATCTCTCTAGAGTCTCTTTGCTGGAAATAGCCATTTCTGGAACGACGTCGTTTCGCTTTCTCGTGTTCGAGCCCTTAAATAGGAAGGAGTTGCCTATGAGGAAAGGGAGCAAGAATTTATCAAGGAAGTTAACGGTAGGTTTGTATTGAATGGAAATGGTAGTGCAAGTAAGTACCGGTATAATAATAGATCAATTGAGGGATGTATCAACGGTGGGGTAGGAGTAGTGGAGAGTGAGAGCAATGGGAGCTTGGTGAAGTATGTGAACGGGAATGGGAATGGTGCTGCGGCGGCGGAGGTTTTGGTGGTGGAAGAAGATGGAGTAGTTTCGGAGGAGACGAGGAAGAAGAGGGTAGAAGAGATTGGGAAACAGGAGGCTTGGTTCAAGCGCAGCACTGAAGAACAGGTCGAGGTACTTGGTTTTACTTTCGAGGAGTTGGGGGCTTGGAATTGAATTAAAAAATTCATTTTTTTGTTTTGTAGTTGTTTTTTTTTTTCGTTATTCCTTGTTTTTTTATTTTTAAAAATTTCTGCAAACTGCAAAGTGAAGCGAATGATAAAAAGGAAACCATATTAATTCAGAGGCAACAAATGATTGAAGTGACTAAAATACAACAATTTTAACATAATTGTTCAAAATATAAAAGTAGATTATGCATTTATTCTTTACAAAATCTGATATTCCGTATGTTTAATTTTCCAAATTATATGTATATTTAATTTTGTATTCAAACATGGTCTTTCCATTTTGTTTTTCGGAGCAAAAAAACAGTTAAACAAAGTTAACAACTAAGTGGTGCCATAATTTTTTTAAATACATATTGTTTCTGTTATTATATAATAGTAAGATATAGGGCTTATGGAATTTGAATTTTATTAGAATGGAATCAAAGAAATCCCAAATCTATTAAATTGGGGTTAATTTGGGCACATAAATATAACAAGATCACTCCACTTATTCTTAATTAATTTTAGGTTGAATGTCTATTATATTTAACCCAAATTTAATATATATGAAATTTCTTTAATCTGCACTCTAATAAAATAAATTTGGATGTGAAGGTTTTGCTTGCTTTTAAGCAAATGTACTGCTAGTTCAGAGTTTGTAGCATTGCTTTAATTTATTGGTTGTAGATATGCATGACTGATGCAAAAGTATATACTAACAACAACAAATTAAGCCTTATAGCATAACTTTGGGTTAGTTGTATGAAAGTTCAAAAAAGGAATCATGTTAGGTTATAGTTTTGAATCTTTTTACACCATTTATTTCTATCAACAACCTTTTTCATTTACTTTCCTAACACTTATATCATTTATTATTATTTGCATTCATTTCTTTCGTGATCTGCTTCTAGAAGTTTTGATTTCACCTAAATCTAGAAGTTCATTTCTCCTAACTGATGCATAAATAGGCTTATGTTTCACATGTTCAAATCATCTCAAATGGCCTTCTCTCTTCTTTTGTTCAATTCAAACTATCCTTAATTTTTTTGGAATCTCATCATTTCTGATTTTGTCTCTTTTAATCTTACCACGCATCTATTTAAGCATCATCATCTTAACTACGCTCGTTTTCTTCTTATATTATTTTTTAACGATCCAACACTCAAATTCATATAGCAATGCAAGCTGTATAATTGTTTTATACAATTTCGCTTTTAACTTTAAAGTTATGTTGTGATCATATAACACACCCAATGCACTTCACCATCTCACCCTTCTGCTTGAATCATATGATTTATATTCTTTTTTATCTCAGCATTACTTTGAATAATTGATCCCAAATATAAAAAATGACTACTCTTTGATACTACCCACCACCAAACTTAATCACACTAGCACTCGCTTCCCATAATTAGTAAACTTACACTTCATATATTTAGTTTTAGATCTATTCAATTTAAAGCTTTGAGACTTCAATATATGCCTCCATAATTCTAATTTCGCATTAAGATCATCATTAGTTTCAACAACTAAGACTATATCATTTGCAAATAACGTACATCATGACACTTTAACTTTGATATGTACAGTAAGCTCGTCCATATCTAATGCAAAAAGAAGTGTACCTAGTGCTGAGCCTTGATGTAATACTAAGGTAATGGTAAAGCTTGTAGAATCCTATGATTTATTTACAGCATGGCAGTAACATATACCAATTTTTTTTCCTTTTCAACTTATTAGTTATTTGACAGTTAAGAGAACTATGTATGGCTACTAACAACAAAATCTGAGTTTGCAAATTTAATAGAGAAGTTGATTAATTTGTTCATATTTTGTCCAATGGTTGGGCTATATAAGGGGTGGCTTCCCCTTCTTAATTCTTAAACTTCTCAATCTTGAAGATGATATTCGATCCCAAGTTGGTCAGATGAGAACCAAAAATGGTGGAGCATATTTATGCTAGTAACAAGGTGCTTTTCTTTGATGTACATTCTCACCATTTTCTTTTATGTATATTTGATATTTACTTGACTTATAGAGTGTACACTAAGCTAACTACATCAATCTTTTTTAGTGTCACAACCATCTCTTTTTTGGTGTGCTTTTTAATTAAGTATAAGCTTCGGATGTGTCTGGGTGTGTTTGTGTATTCCTCTTTAATTTTGTGTTAACCATCATCTTATGGCAATAAATCTCTAAGGTTTCTGTTGCTCCTGTAGGGCATTGGAGTAGATTCAAAACCTACTCAACAATATAAAGGACCTTGGAAATATGGGGATTTGCATGGTTGAACAGTAAAAAATTCTCTTATAAAGGTTAGTGACAGCTAGATTTACGTTTTTTTTTCTTTTGATGTTAAAAGCATATTGTTTCCACCTGGGCTTTACCTTTAGGAGGGAGTGAAGTACCAATGCCCTCGTGAGATTTCATGTTTCCGCATAGGTCTGTGAAACATTCCCACTCAGATTGAACCCTTTTTGCTTATAACATATGATGGACGAGAATTGGAGTACCTTACTAATCTGTAATAGACCATGATGTAAGAAATAATTTGGAAACCTTTTAGAAATAATCCCAAACCACATATAATTAACTTTAGAAGCCCCACTATAGGTAGAGCCTTGTTTTTTCACCTTTTGTAAATAAGCCAAAACTTAGGTCATGTTGTTTTCTTAATTGTCATGTTTACTATATGCTTTATTGGAATGATTAACTAACCTCTTTGTCTTTTTTATTTTTTTTCTTGCACATTCATATTGTTTTTTGCCCTAAAGCTATTTTAACAAAGGCCTTCATGGATTTCACAAAACGTCAGGTTTGTGCCTCATCTGTGCTATTCAAATATGACTCTCCTATAGAAGTAAAAATGGAATTAGAAAAGAGGCAGCTAGAAGAAGGAGATTGTTTGCCATCTGGTCATGTCCTTACACTATCAAGAGAAGTTCGCCTATTCCTCAAACATAATGACTTGAAAAACCTATCATATATATGGAATAGTATGACCTTTTTCAGGTAAAGAGCTTTTTGGGAGAAATTCAGGCACATTGCGTATCTTATGTCAATGGAGGTTGACTACTCACTTATTAAAGCGATGTTACAATTTTATGATT